AGTGGGAAAGAGGAAGAATTATGCTAATATGGACTGAAAAAAAAAAAGCCTTGGTGATGCAAAAGACCTACAGAATGATCCTGGACCTGAATCCGAGGACCCCAAGCAGCAGGATTAATGCAGGTAGGGTTTCATTATTTTGTTTACTGTTGCATAAACACCTGCTAAGTAATATTTATTTTATAAAGAAATAAACTACAAAACCTGTCCTTATACCATCAATAAGTTACCTCTAACATTTGGCCCTCAAGAGTTAGATTGTAAACCCGGAATATAAACCCTGAGAATGGCTGTTCTGATGTTATGAAAAGTCTGAGAGGGATAACTTCAGGGACCAGAAAACTGAACAGACTACTGCAGCTTCCAGAATAATTTTCTTTGTAACATCTGCATGACAGAAATATGTGCAGATGTGTTCTAACCAGGCGCAGTGGCTGCTTATAAAGAGAAATTTCAGGGCACATAGAGGCACTTCATGACATAAGAGCTCAAGGAGATTGCAGGATGGCAAACCTACTAGGACCATGTCCATATACTGTGAGAGAGACAGAGAACTAAACTATTCCTCTCCTTTTCCTCTTTCCAAAAGTACTTACAGGGGGTGTGTAACATAAAATTATACTGGTTTTTGAAGTCTCTCCTCTTTTACTGACTACGCAAGAAGATACGTGTAGTCACATAAGGTGAGAATAGGTAGGTTGATGGATGATGCAGAGGGTGTGGTGCTGTGAGTAAAATAAATCCCAAGATGTGTGACTTGAGAGAGTTACTTGAGCCTGAGAAACCTGAAAAGCAATCCATTATAATTTTGCCTGTTCCACTGCGTTGATAAATTATTCAATAGACATGCTGAATTTTATTAATTTTTTGTAACATTTACATGGTTTTAGCATTCTTGCTATGTACTTGTGTACTATAAGTGATCATTAAAAGACAACCCAACTCCTTAATAAACCTCTTCTACATTTCAAAGCACATCTACTGTCCCATAAACTTTTGTTATTTCTTCCTTTTTATGTAGAATAGCACTGGTTATACACTATGGAAATAGCTTTCCTGCTGCCATTTTAGTTGCATTGTTTACTTGGAACGAAGAAATAAAATAATTTCTCTGCTAAGTAAATACTGCCCGTTACCAGTAGAATCAGTAGTTCTTCCTGCATTAGATAGAGTGATCTGAATCTCTTCAACACATCCTCTGACCAGGTTTTTCATTATAGACTGCATTCTAATATTCTATACTTATACCATGAAGGCACTTCCTATATAATTTTCTGTATAATATTCTCTTTCTGCTTCTTACCAACAGTGAAATGATCAAAGGCATGATAAATTAATAATAATTCTAACACAACTGGTAGTCAGTTTGAGAGATTGGATGCAGCTGACATTTGAGTACTCAAAATTAGCTATTACCTGTCACATTTATTTTATTCTTTCTGGATCCAAACTAAATTTCATTGATTTTCAAGGGAGAAATTATGCTTAAAAAAAGGTTTTGTTATGAACCCAAAGAGAGAAAAGAATAAGATTTTTTTTTTTTTTTTGCATGTGTGAGGAGAGGAAATATGGAGAAAATTAGGCATTTAAACCCAGTAACCAGTCAGTTACGTGACAGTACAAAATCTGTTAAACATACTGTAAAATTAAATTAAAAATTTCAAGACCATTCCAGGGAAATTCTAAACTGCAATTAGGATTTAATTTTTGCAATGTTGAAAGGAGCTGGAACTGATTTTTAAATCAGGCAAATCATCAGGGGGAAAGCTATCACTGGTGTTTATAGAAGGTGCATGAGTCTTGCCTGTGATATGTTATCCCATAAGATGGACTCACAGATGAGCTGCTCCCAACCCTCACCCCAGTTAAGGGAGTGCATGGGGGCTCAGTGGCACCAAAGCTCCTTGCTGCCTACTGGGGAATACACTCACCCTCCTGCTAATTTAGCTGCAAATGCTCTCTGCATGGTTTGAGCCTGTGCTCCTTGCCCTGTCCTGCACCGCCGTGTGCTTGCTTTCCTCATCATGACAAAACAGACCCAGAAAACTTACCAAGCTGAGGTGTGGTGACTCTGTGCCCCACCGCTGACAGGTGGACCACTGACCCAGCAGAAGTAGCTATAGCTGCGAGGCATGATAAGTGTTGAGATGTGGGAAATTTTTCAAGGTGAGCCTCCACAGGGATGAGAGGGAGAGAATTTTCCCTCCCCACCCCCATCCTGACAAAGGATGGCAGGATGAGGCAGCTGCTCATCACCTACACCCCTGGCTCTGAGAAACCCTCCAGAGAACCTGCTGGGCCCAGCACACACAGAGTGCCTGAGGAAAACCCGTGAAAGAAACGTGCACCTATCCTCAGGGAAAAAGGGTAGACAGATATCCTGTAAGGGTAGGTCACGCTGAGACCTGTCCTGCTTGGCCCAGTTCAGGAGACAAGGCACTGCGGAGAGAGAAAACGGCAGCAGGGTTTGGGATGGAGACAGCATGTGACAGAGTAACTGTGGAAGACTGGTGTAATGAAATATCTTCAACTCTGATTTCTCCCTTCAGAACATTTGCATACACCTATGAAACAATTCTGCTTTACAGCCAAATATCAGCCTCTTCGGCCCAGTTTCTGATGGTTGCCAAAGAGGTAATTTTTTCCAGTTAGAGAAAACTGGAAATATTTGAATGTATCCACTTTCAAAATCATGTAATGGAAATTCATTAGGGCTGATTTCCTGGAGCGGTTGTCAGCTTCCAGATACAGAAGTTCTCATAGACTTCCAAACTCCATATTCACTTCTGTTGCTTTCTCTGTATAAATATATGGAGATAAAAATAGTGTACATTGAATTAGGCAGGGATTTCTTCACCAGTGACATTATGATGAGGAACATATGTGATGTAGGTGTACCGTAAGATGACCAGCTGTGCTGTCAGTCTGTTCAGTCTGTTAAGAGGAGTAAACCTTCAGCTTTAGGCATTCTTGGGTACAGATTGTGATGTAATAAGATATGAGGAAGAAAATGAAATATGAAATTGGATAATGTATTTAATTTACTGTGCTAATAGGCAACAGTCTACTTATGATGTTTCCAAACAAGCATATTTAATATTTTGCTATGGTGAGTTATTCTGGTGGTAAATTAGTTTTCAGAGAACTAGAGGGGAAGCAAAAACGTAGAAGTCAGAGCCTACTGCTCTTTATCACTTTTAAGTCAAACTAAATAATTAGAAAGGTGTCAGAACAGACAAAGTTATTTTATTTTTCCATAAGAAGCCAGTTTTCCCCCTTTCTTTGTCTTAAGCAGATTACTGTCATCACCATTCTTGCCAACAAGTAGACTCATTGGAATATTTTTCAAAAATGAACACAAATATTGGAAGCAAGCAGGTGGAATGAATTAATATGGTTCTAACATAACGGTTTCTGAAGTGTACTGTTCAAACATCTAGAGTCTAGCTATACAACACACTGGGGGAACAAAGCTACTTTAAGAAATTATCGGTTATGTGCATATAAATGCGTGTGAAGCCAGACTTAGGTCCAGACTAAATGTCCTATCACACACACATTTCTGGGATAGTTTTTAGCTGTAAGGCATGGTAATGGTGTGGTTTACACTGTTTTCCCAGTTGTGTTAGCACAAGTGAACATGGTGGCAAACACAGAAAGCAGGGATGGGGAGCATTGGCAGGGAAATGGTGCTTCTTAGGCCAGCTTCACACAGTATATCCTACAGCTGAGCAATAGCCCACATCAACTGTGAGTCCAGAGTACATGTCCTTTGTTGGTAGAGGCAACTGAAGGTGCTCCTGGTTTGCACTGGTCCCTGACCAACTCCCAATCACCCATACTGGTTCAAGTCATTATTCCCTCTTTCATTAGAATGGATCTCTGAGATAGACTACAGACGTGCTATGAATTATACAAAGAGAGCCAGAAAACAATCTTAAAGAAAGGAAGAAAAAAAAAGGAAATAAAAAGATTCCAAATCCGTACAGTAGGATTAGCTAGAGGCAAGAAGCAGTAGAAGTGTGGGCTGGCCACTCCTGCAATGCCAGCACCAGAAACAGCTCAATAGCACAGAGCCTGGTGCAGTATTGGTTGCCCTGCTTTGGGCTAGGATAATATTATAGTTTTATACTGACCACACTTTCACATGGGGATTTCCTGAGCATTTTTTTGATAATCAATAAAAAATGTAGTCAAACTACAAATATAATAAATATTCAGATTGTTATTAATTATATTAGGTTTTATTTAATTAAGCAGAAATGAGATGTGGCTATTTTGAAGATGGCTCTGAAGCAGATGAGATCCAAAATAAAAAAAAAAGTAGTAGATTTTTACAATCCAATATAAATTCAGGTAGGAATTTATGACATTATTTTGTTGAAAAAAGTTTGCTTGTCTTTTCAGTGCATATTTATTATTATCTAAAAGCTGCATTTTGAAAACCTACTGCAAGAGCAGCACTTTGAAAAATCAGATCTTCTTCTTAAAGGGTTGGAATATAGCTTCACAAGGAAAGTAATTTCTGTAAATATTGCTTTTAAAATCAGTCTTTACATTCAGATTAATTTTTTTAATATCAAGACCTGCAGAATGACCCAATAGTTGGTGCCCAATAGTTGGCTCCTCTTTGGAGGTCCAAATCAATAGATCCTTTAAGACCTGCTTGCAAATAGGCAGTTATTTCACTAATAGACGATTACCTGTAAAATAAGTCTATTGAAACTTTTATTCAATATTCCTGCAACCTTATAGTTGCCATGGGATGACAAGAAGTAAATATAATGTTATAAATCAGTGCTAATCAGTGCTATTTTTGTTCTTAGCAAAAATTTAATGTACAAATTATTACAATAATTTAGAGGAAACAGACTAAAAAAAAACCCCAAACCCAAAACCAAACAGTGGCTTTTGTGCAATCCAGCAGATGGTGCTATTATGCAATAAACTGGTTCAAGAGTATAAGAAATGCATTGTATGTGAACATTTTTCTCCTTTACCTGGTGTTGCTGCTTTTTTGATAGCTGGATTGGCTGCAGGAGCTTTTGTTGGCTCTTAAAAAAACAAACAAACAAAAACACAAAGAAAGAAACAAACAAACAACAAATTAAACCAATTATTATGAAGTGTTATATCTTAAACATAGAAATCTGAGGAAAGGCTTCCAACGAGGTATGACCTGTAGCAATTTTTTCACTGAAGAATTAAACAAAGAGATTACCCAAAGGGAGAGGAGCTGGGTTGTCTTCAATAAACTCAAAGGCAACAATAAAATAACCTTACAAGCTGAAGGGCTAATAAGCTCTGGCTGTTAGGCACTGAATCACTTATTTTAGCTTTTTCTGCCTAGTAATTCAGTATCTATTGGCAAAGCAGAGGAAAGGAGGTATGTAGGGGTTCCAGCATGGCCTTGCCCCTCAGGGAGCATGTATGTGCTGGGCATCTCTGCATTTGATCTTGCAGCTATGAGAGCAGAAAGTCCCGAACCAGCCTACATCAGATATTGAGGATTCACTCCTGTGAATTCAGCAGTGGTGCTTCAGGGGATCTCACAGCCATTCAGTGGCATCCTTTCCCCTAATCTGAATCTCTCCCTGGTTAGAAAAGCTGAAATTGGCTACTTCTGCAAAGTACATCCACAGGCTCGTCTCTCCATCCAGAGGAATGGAGGAGCATTAGGAGATCTCCATGTTTGATCCTGCACTTGAAACAGTAACAGTGGTATTCTCCTAGCACAGAAACAGGCCCTCACAAGCCATTAAACTGTAATTCTGTTCCTGGTCTTTTAAGTACACTTGCACTATATTACAGTGCACTTGCACTATACTCTCTTTGTTGGTAGAACATGTCCTTGCAGAATGAAGACCCAAATGATGAAGGGTATGTGCATCCCCAAGTGGATTTGAGGAATCTCAGCCCTAGATAGAAGAATCTAAGTAGTTTACTAGATTTATTTACTCTTCACTAGTGTTTAGTTAATTGCTTTTACTCTCAGGAACTAACAAAACAGACTGTACTTAAACCACAATAATTTAATGAATATCAATAAGGAAAACTCCACCAACTGTCATAAAGGATTTTGTATTACAACTAGAAGGTCCTATAAATTAAAATTCCCATTTCTGTATTTTGAGAGGAAATAACTAATGATTTTAATCACAAGCTGAATTACAGATTGTCAAAAAAATGTTAGTTAATCCTTCACATCTGCCACTGTGTTATTGCAAAGAAAAAAAACATGGCTAAATCAGGAATGTAATTTTGAGTTCTTCCCTCCAGTCTTTTGAGAAGTTCATAAAAGATGCATAGACTGTCTTGTGAAACAGAATGAAAACAAAATATACTTTGCATGTGTGCTATTGTTTTGTTTACATCCATTTGAAACCCCACAGCAGATAATTATATCCTAACTTAGTTATTATCACAGCATTGTAATTACTTGGGGTGCTCACACCTCCTTCATGGACATACGTAGAAGACCTTGAAGAAAAATTTACTTACTATTACTTTCCTAAGTGCCAGTTCTGGTAGAAATAAGAGATGCAACTGGCATGTTCTACAAGTGTCAAGCTGGATTTAATACAAAATTACAGGACTCTTACAAGTCCCTTCTGAGCTCTGAGATAGAGCATGATGGACAGTGAGACTTTTTTTTACTTTTTTGTTCTTAACATCCATGAAAAGAAACTAAGTTAGGATCCTTTTTGTTCTATAAAGATTTTTCTTTTCATTAAAATATTTAATTTCTGAGCAACTGAAATAATTATAGTTGAGAAAAAATAAAATTAAGGGTATGTTTTGTCAGAAATTTCTTTATTTAATTTTTAAATAAATTTTCAGTAGCATTGAAACAAAACCTACCAATGTTTTAAACTTTCTTTTGCAAGAGTACACTTTTCAGTTTGTAATTGACAAATTATTTAAGTGCTAATGACTCTACATATTTATGAACTAGTTTCAGCTGCAAATTTTATGATGGAGCTGGGACATTTTGCTGTGACAGCTGCTGTGGAATTCTGCCATGAAAAGCATCATAAAATGGTTTGGCTTGGAAGGCACATCTAGTGTGCCTTAAAGTCCATCTAGTTCCAACTCCCTTGCCAGTGGCAGGGACACCTTCCACTAGACCAAACTGCTCCAAGCCCCATCCAACCTGGCCTTGAACATTTCTAGAGATGGGGCATCTACAACCCCTCTGGGCAACCTGTTCCAGGGCCTCACAGCAAGATACAATAGAGATACACAGAGATACACAGTAGAGAGTTTGTTCCTAATATCTAATCAAAACCTTCCCTCTTTCATTTTAAAGTCAATACCCCTTGTCCTATCACTGCATACCTTTGTGAAAAGTCCCTCTCCAGCTCTCCTGTAGGTCCTCTTTGGGGGCCCAAATTAACAGATCCTTTAAGACCCGCTTACAAACAGGAAGTTATTTCACTAACAGACCATTACTTGTAAAATAAGTCTATTGAAATTTTTATTCAATATTCCTGCCAAATTTGAGTAAGAAGCAAATGTATAAGCTTTACTTGATTGCCAAAAGAAATCTTTTAATAAATTGCTGCAAAACCAAGGATGGCAGGAGATTAATCTGCCATTCGTGTCATGGATGGCATGGAAAGATCATACATGGAAAGTCAGTGCATTCTTTAATCATGAATTTGAATGAGATTTTGAAACCCCATAGTTTTTCTGTATTTTTCCTCTACACTATACTTTCAGAACAGAGAGCTGACGAGATGAAGTCTTACCAGAGAAACTGTCTTACTATCCTTACTGTGTTGAGGTATTGATGCTTGCAAATTTGTAGGAAAGGAAGACGTAAGTGCTCCTCTGTTAACGATACCACATTCTCAGAACATTTTGTGGTTATTTTTTCAGAAGAGCCCAACTCCCATCTCTCTTCCGAAGTCTCTGAAGTCTCTGTGTTGGAATCAGAAGTAACTAGATAGGCAGGGCCCTTGTACATTTGTGAAGACAAATTTGGTGGTCCTCAACATGTTGAATTCTCAACCTTCTCAGCTCATTTATGGAAATTGCTGCCACTGAGAGCACATTTTGCTGACACTTCAATTTGACATTTCCTTTCCTAGGAAACTTTTGTTTTTTAAGACAGTGATAAGGAGGAGGGGAAGGCAAAACTGTCAGTCACAAAAAAGAGTGTGGAATTAAAAGTAAGACAAGAATGGATTTAGAAAGTAAGAAACACATGAAGTCTAAACATATCATTTTTCAATTATAAATGGTGTAACTGCTTTCTTTGCATTTTCAACTATTCAATAACTATTATTTTTTGATTATTGAAATGTACTCTTTGAAACTGCATGGCATATAAAAGAGATAGTAGTTTCTTACTTTTGAGTTCTTTGGACACAGCAGCTTCTTTTTTATCTGTAAGATAAAAAAAACCAAACCAAAAACACATATGCATGAAACATAGAAAGGATATAAATAGACAAAAAACTACAGTGTGTACTTTAGAGGTGAAACAGCTTATTTGCTGCAAAGTGCATCTGAATGATACAGTGACTCAATTCAGTTCTGTTTCTTTCATGGTACAGTTACACTAATTTAACCTTAAGTGTAAATACAACAAAATCTGTGTGAGCATGAACAGTTTTGTTTAATTTCTGTATTGTAATCCCTGAAATTTGACATGTGGTTGAGTTATCGTGGTTTTTATGTACTGACTGAGCTATAGTTACTCACCATGTGTACTGTTAAGATGTGCATTGTTAAGATGCATAAATGCAAGGGAAGATGAGCTAGGAATGTAATGAAATGTACTGTCTTAAAGATCTTAGAATCATACAACTGAGACCTAGTTTAGAAGACTTCCTACTTAACACCTTTGGAACCTGGAGAAACTCAGCCAGTCCTACATATGGACCAGGTAAATGTAGGCAAAATCTGTCCCTGGTTGATTTAAATAAAATTTAAATGACTTAGCTATATCAAAATGCAGCATGGCCAGGAAGTCTACCAGAAAGACTTAACTAGGCTGTTCAGTCTCTCTTCACTTAAGGTAGTATTTTTGTGCCAATTTTTGTAGGACTTTTTTTCCGATGGCTGAGAGATTTGGAATCTTTACTAAGGAGATATAAGTGGGCAGAAATACTCAGCGATAGCTTGTTCGCTATAATCTTTGCTACCTCAGGGCTTTTAAATGGATATAAAAATCATCCATTTTTAGAAACATACTTGGAGTCTCACATACCTTTTTCATTAGTCTCACTCTTACAACTAAGAGATCTTACAACTTAGGTCCATGGAGATCCTGTGAGACAGGAGCAAAGGGGTGCATAGAGCAGTGGTAGAAGTTACTCCCCTGGGTGGTTATGAGGACATTAACATCCTCTCTAATAATCTATAGTGTGTGGAATAAAGGCAGAATAATGCTTATGTCCACAGCATATATGAAGGACAAATGAACTGTGCTCTTAAATACTAACACAACAGGGTAGAAACTGCCAAATTAAGTTGCCTGCAAACCCAAGACTATTCCATTACTGCTAAAAATATGAAGTTGTTTCAATTTCTGTTGCTTCCTAAATTGCTGTGAAGAAGTTGATATGAGATAAGGTAATGCAAATGACTATCAAGTAGTCTAATAAAAAATCTTGAAAAATTTGGAGGAAAATATATTTCTACTTGGGCAAGATGCTGCTCTGAACTGAAATGTTTCTAGGTTAATCCTCTGCTTCCCCTAACTCTCTGTGAAAGCATGTTTTGCAGGCATAACTTCAAAGCATGATAATTATCACATTTAGATGAAATTAATCATGAGGCAGCTTTTAGCCATGTTATCTGGCTGAGGAGCCTATTGAAGCCTTCAAGAAGCGCCTATAAGTTGCCAGATATGGAAATTTTGAAAGGTATATATTGCAGTGATATGAATCATTTATCAAAATAATCTTCTATTGCTGGAGGTTATAAAAAATAAATAAATTGACAGCATCGTTTACAATAACAGACTGGATCTAAATAAAGCCCTCAGGTTCTTTATTTCTTTTTTTTTTTCATATAAGTTATCATTTATTAGGACAATGTACTTCCTTATATTTTAAAACCATAATTTATGTTCAAAGAATCAGCATGTTTTCCCATTGTCTGAAATACATGACATATAGTAAATTCTGAGTAAAAACTGGACAATTTTTTCCAGTAAGAAAATTTTATAATTTAGGGGGTTTGGTGTATTTTTGTTTTGTTTTTAAAGTGAAGAAAAATTAACAAAACCCGATTCCATTCACACATATTCATATGAAAATGTAAATATTTTTACTCTTATGACATTCTTTTCAAACCAAGGTGCCTAACATTTGATTTCTATAGCTATATTTAACCATCTAGGTTGCGATGATTAACAGAAAATTGTGCAGAGGAGGTTTTGTAGGATCTTGAATCATAGAGGTTCCTTTGAAGGTATATAGCATTTACATCTACGCACTTCATATTTGAGTGAAATAAATGACCCGGTTAACAGAAGGAGGGAAAACTGATCAGAACTTCCGAAGTTCCTAAATGTTGTTACCTGCTATAATGCAGCAATATCACATAACTAAACAACTCAAAGGAAAACAATACCAAAAATGAAGTGAGCAAGGAGTTAATTTGTGCAACTTAAGACAATGAGCATTTTGTCTCATTCACTTTTACTTTACACAGGTCTAGGGTTTAACTTTTAAACTATGGGAGTGTGGTTGGGGAACGTAACTTATATTACATCAGGTTTTAATATTTATTATGTCTTTTTCTTAAAAACAACAATAAGCTCTCTGGCCTCTTGGTGGGTCTGATTTTTCATGTTAGTTAAGAAGAGGTATTTCCAAAACAAATTAACTTATATGCAAACACTAGTATTGGACAACCTGTGAACATTATCTTGAACACATCAACCTAGAAATACCAATCAACCTAGAAAGTATAATCTTCAGACGTCTAGGTTATTTTCTCTTTAAAAATTTACATCTGAAGCCTGGTACAAGAAAGGCAAATGCGTGACATGAGAATGATTATTATGTTTCTCAGAAACTGTGTAATTTCATTAGGACCTGTATAACATGTGAACATCAGTCTGAGTGCTCTAGCAGCCTTGACCAGTAGTACAATCAAAAGCACTGTAGCTATCCTTCATATTGGTGACAGAACTATTTGATATCCAACAACAGGGCATGCATTTTATTTTCAAGAAAAGCAACATTTCTACAACAATGTAAAGCAATAAAAACCCCAAACCTTTAGTAGACTTATAATAGAAGACAAGACTTCAAAATCTGATGCTTTCAATAATTTGGTGCCCAAATTGAAGCAGTCATTTTTTCAGAAGTTTTTGAGGACATGTTTGATATTTAGGTCTTCTTAAAGGTCTTATGTAAACCACACAAATACTGTGCAGTCCAAAGTTTTGGATACCTCTTAGAACCCTAGCCATTACTTTTTCTTGAAAGAACATGCAACAGACTTTAAAAGGCTAAGCACCACAGCTGACAAAATTGTTTGTCAGCTGCGGAGTACTGTGAAGCACCCTTTTCATTTTACAGTTATTCTATCGAGGTGTTTGAAGGCAGTTATATTCTGGTCTATATTATCAAAAAGCAATCATGTTTCTACAAGCTCTCCTCTTCTCAGGTGAATGAACAGGTTTTTCTTTTATTGACTCTTGCAAAAGAGTAAAGTACAGTAATACTTAAAAATTATTTTATTAAAAACCACCAAATATTTAAACAAATATGATCTGACTTTGTTCTTATTTATACAGGTTAAAAGGATCAATTTTGAATTCAAACTAAGAATAAGCACATATGTATCTCAGCAGAACAGCAAAGGAGTATTTTATTTTTTTGCCTCTTTTTAGCACATAGCTCGATCTTTTCCTCAGGCCTTGTTCAAAATTCTTTTGAAGTAAACTAGCAGTACACAGTAACTGCAAATGATATCTAAACTACACATGGGACAAGAAAAAAAATCTCTCCAAGCTTATATAGTGCCTTTCATGACAGTGAGTCCCTAGGAGGTTGGTAATAAGCTATTAGACAAGAATGCCCCAGTACTCTGGTACAGAGTGTGGTTGTTTGAGTTTAAACAAACTTCCAAAATGGAATATTTCAAACACTACTCTGAAGTGAATTCGAGATCTGGCGTTCATGAAACTTTTACACCTTTTTTAGCAGTAGATTTATAATACAGTGTACACTGTACATTTCATTACAGGAGATCTTTGGCAGCTCCATACAAACTATATTTTTGATATCTAAAAGAAAGTTATGGGAAATAAGTGGGTCTCAAATTGCACTCACTTGAAAAGCTTCTCTGCACCTTTCCTCCTAAAAATCTCTCAAACACATATAAGAGTATTAAAAATCTTAAATTAAAAGTATTATTCAGATAAGTGAATATTTCAGAAACAGTATAGTGATAGCTCAGATAATGATACACTATTTAAAATATGTGGCTAAAACCCCTCTTACTCTTGGAAGCATTATCGTTTATGTTGTATATAAACCAACCTTTCTATTTGGAAGCTTCCCAAAGAACACGACAGTAATACCAAATTTACAAGCAGAAATTCATTTCAACACCAGTGGGAAATCACAGTGTCCAAACTGAACGGTAGCTAATATCATTATCAAACATAGTGTAACCCAATAGATTCCTCCACAGATGATCTGGACTAAGTACCAACATCTTGGAGAATTACTAGATGCCTCTGAAAGACATGATTTACTGAATCAAAAACTAAAGAGAAATTTAAGATATTAAGCAGTTACTAAAGGAGAAATTCTCACCCTAAGCCTCAGCTAACACTTTTTTACTTTCTCTATCTTTAATTGATGATCACATACTAGAATGGACTTAATCAAACACCACTGACTGGCTAATGGTCTATATGTACCCACAGAAAATAAGTTGTGCAATGAAGACGCCTCACACAACGTGACCATAGCTCTCAAAGAAGAATGTTCCTAATAAGACTCACACAAATCTTGCATCATTGCTTGGCTCTTACTGTTTATTTTGCCTCAGGTATTCAATTCATTTTGTGATTAAAAGTGGGAGAACAAAAAGAGAAGAGGGAAGAAAAATGAACAGAAACTTCAAGAATCAGAGAGAATTGTGTTGAAAACAAAAATAGTATTTTCCAATGTCTTGGAACCAAAATTGTGTTATTTTTCCAGAAAAACATTATTGACCAAAGCACAATTGAGTGCCAGCTTTGGGAGCTTGGTTCTGGCTTTGCAAGTGCAATACAATAACAGAGCTTTTATGACACCACACCTTACAAGTATGACAGCTAATGTTCTCCTTACTGCCCTGGGCAAGAGTTCAAAGAAGAGGAAATAAAAATCGTAGCAGGTGGCACCTGATGTCTGAGAACTCCCATCATGTGAATGGAAAACATAATTAAAGTAGCCTAAAGACCAGCCTCAGTACAGTCTGTTCCCAAGCTAGCAGATGTGCCAGAATTTAAAAATAATTTGTTAAGTAACAAAGTTTGCTGTTAATGTGATTTACAGTGCTAAAAGAGGAAGACACCCCAGATAGCTGAGCATTTTGAAAAATAAGCTGCTGTTGAGCACATAGTAATTAAAAAAGCATTCTCAAACTTCCTATTAAAATATACTGTGGTCTAACATTTCTGGTTTTCATTTACTTGGAGTTCTTAAAACTGCTTTTCACAATACAACATTGATTTCAACTAATATTACAACAATTCTGAGAAGCGTTCAATTCTGAACTGTCTTTAAGAATTTCTTACCCAATTGCTTTTTAATTTACATTATTTTTGATAATTTTACACTAATTACATGGCATTACTGAAATTATTTTCACCTTACCACATCTAAAAGTTTTTGGGAGTATTTTCTTTATTTTGACTTCAATAATTTCTGAAACAGATGCTCACATATAGGTGTGTTTTCTTGGAATATCTACCCATTTAGTTGTAATGTCTCCATTATACAATAAAGATTTCAAAAATTCCGTATTACATAGAATTAAAGCAGTATTTTTTCTTCTTTTCAGTGGAATTAAAATCTAGGAAGGCTCTATCAAAACTGCTTATACCGATGTAAGATTAAATTTTTAACATACTTCCCCAAAACCCTAAAATTTGATGTTGGCATAAAAGAGCTGTTTAGAAATATCAACATTTCTCCCACATGCAAATTTCTGTGTTTGCACCAACACTTGATTTTGTTCCCTATCTTAATCACTGAGCATAGTATTGCCATATTCTCTGTGACAACTACTGACAAGAACTCCTCTTGTCTTTCC